GGGATGCGGAAGCGGCAGCAGGCCCTGACCAGGGACACGGCCGTGCCCAGGCTCACCCGGTGGCCCACGGACACGTACAGGGGCCTGGAGCTGTTGCTGTGGCTCCGCAGCACCTGGGCAGCCAGAAAGGAGAGATCAGGCAGTGGAGAGGCTCGTTTGAACAAACACAGAGGGGTACTGGAGTTAGGAGCCAGCCAGAGCCCTGGGGTGGGGTGGGGGCTCTGAGTTAGCAGCTCCCAGCCTTCTTGAACACTTTCCCCATCCCAGTGTCCCCGTGTCCCTTCCCCAGACGCCCGAGGCTGCTCGGGATGCAGGAGCTGTGCCAGCCCAGGCTGACAGCACCCACAGGAAGAGTCTCCCAGCTGCCTGTTCCTGCTCTGCTCTGAATCAGCCGCTCCCAGCCCGATCCCCGGGAGCTGCCAGGGAACTGGCACCTGTCCCAGGCTGCAGCTCACCATCCAGGCTGCTGGAGCACCTCAGTGCCACAGCCACGGACGGCAATGCTCCCAGCACCTGAGCTGCCAGCTCCCTGCAGCCACCTGAGCTCTCAGGAAGGGGCCAGCAGTGCCACTGGTCACCTGTTCTCACCTGCAGGGCATCACTGAGACAGCCCCACTGTGGAGAGGGACAAGGGACAACTTACCATGCCCAGGACCTTCCCTGAGGTGCCTGTCAGTGGGAATGCCTCTCCTGACCTCTGCAGGGAACGAACCTGGAGATAAAAACACACACATCAGTTCATTAGCACACCATTGTAGGTGGCTGTCCAAATTCCCCCGGGATGTGAAAAACCAAACCCCAGCCTGGCCTAACCTGCTCCTTGTGCAGCTCATCCCTGACCAAGCCATCCACGTGCAGGAGGTTCTTGGCCACGCCGATGCACGGCAGGTCTGTCAGCACTCCGAGGTGACACGCTATGCCAAACTCTGCCAACAAGGAGCCACTGTAGCTGCGGGACACCAGGCAACAGGAACGGCAAGGAGCAGCACAGGGCTCTGCAGGAACAGCCTACCTCTGGGATGGAGCAGGCCATTCCCATCCACCAGAAGCACCTGAAAAAGCCAAAGCACAAATGTTATTCCCCGGGCACTGAGAGCACTCCCAGGAGCAAGGAGGAGTCTCTCTTAGTTCCTCAATTCCCCCTGTAAGGCTCCTCCTGACTGCCTGACCCTGAAGCAGCAGCACTGTGGGACTGGCAGTGCCCTGCACACACCATGGGCTCCCACTGCCACAGGAGGCCCGGCTGCCCCCAAATCCACATCCCTGCTCCCCAAGGAAAGGGAAGGGATGCTCCAGCACAGCTCTGCCCATGCCCCTCCTGCCCCAACAACTCAGGCTCCAGAGGGAGAACACCTTCCCTGGAATTCTGCAGCCCAGCTCGGGACAAGGGAAACAGCACACCTGAGGCTGGAGCTGGGGCTCCTCCTGCTGAAGTCTCTGCACAGCTTCCACCAGGACAGGCACCTCTCGGAAGGCAAGGAACCCGGCCACGTACGGGGCGGTGACGGGCACCATGCGGCAGTCCTGGTACAGCACCTGGGGCAGGCACGG